TAAAAATCCTAATACATTTTAGAAGTGTACTTAACCTTTAAAATGTGATGGAATTTTTTCCACGGTTACATTTTTTAAATTTAAAGTGGAGCTACAACCCAAAAGGGGAAGTTCCACTTTAAGCACTGGTCCCCCACTCCCTGTGAAGAACTGGCACATTTGGGGAGCGGGTACCAGATGTTGACAGGTATCCGCTTCCACTTCCACTCAGACTGCCTAGTCGTTCGGAAACAGATGTTCTCTAACCCCCCCCCCCCCCCCCAGAAGACTGTGGGACCATTCACGTGCAGCGCTGCTCGTGCAAGCTACAAGCTGTCACAGCCGGATGCCCACACTTAACATGCTGGTGCTGGGGACAGAGGGTGGCCAGTGAACTCCGCTGGATCATAGGACAGGGGAGTAGCTGTTTTTTATTTAAGTCAGCAACTACAGTTTTTTAATATGGGTGTTTGCAATAAAAAACAGAAGATAAAGTAATATACATGGAAATTAACTTTTTACCAGTGTATGCTTTTTGTTTTTGGGTGTACTGTGGCAACATCCTTCTCCTTTGAGTCCTGTGGGGGTGGCACAGTGGCTCAGTGGTTAGCACATCTGCCTTGCAGTAAATGTGTCATGGGTTCGATTCCCAACCATGGCACCTCCTGCATGGAGTTTGCATGTTCTCCCTGCGTTTGCGTGGGTTTCCTCCAGGTGCTCCGGTTTCCTCCCACACTCCAAAGACATGCTGGTAGGTTAATTGGATCCTGTCTAAATTGGCCCTAATATGTGTATGTATGAATGTAAGTTAGGGACCTTAGATTGTACACCCCTTGAGGGTTGGAGACTGATGTGAATGTTCAATATACAGTTGCAAGAAAAAGTATGTGAACCCCTTGGGATTACGTGGAGTTTTGCATGAATTGGGCATAAAATGTGCTCTGAACGTCATCTAAGTCACAACAATAGAAGAACACAGTCTGCTGAACATAATACTACACAAACATTAGATGTTGCCATGGTTTAATTGCACATAACATGTAAACATTCACAGTGCAGGGAGGAAAAAGTATGTGAGGCCCTAGCTTAATGACTTCTCCCAGAGCTAATTGGAGCCAGGAGTGAGCCAACCTTGACTACAATCAGGGTGATGATATTGGATGTGTTGCTGACAGCTGTCCTGCCCTTAAAACACACACACCTGTTTTGGGTTTACTGGTTTCAAGAAGCACTGTCTGATGTGAACCATCCCTCGCAGAAAAGAGCTCTCAGAAGACCTACAATCAAGAATTGTTGACTTGCATGAAGCTGGAAAGGGTTACAAAAGTATCTCCAAAAGCCTTGATGTTCATGTGTCCACGGTAAGACAGACTGTCTACAAATGGAGAAAGTTTAGCACTGTTGCTACTCTCCCTAGGCGTGGTCGTCCTGTAAAAATGACTGCAAGAGCATGGCGCAGAATGCTGCATGAGGTAAAGAAGAATCCCAGAGTGTCAGCTAAAGACCTACAGAAATCTCTGGCACATGCTAACATTTTTGTTGACACATCTACAATAAGGAAAACATTAAACAAAAATGGAGTACATGGGAGGACACCACGGAGGAAGCCATTGCTGTCCAAAAAGAATATTGCAGCATGTTTGAAGTTTGCAAAAGAGCACCTGGATGTTCCACAGCACTACTGGCAAAATATACTGTGGACAGATGAAACCAAGATTGAGTTGTTTGGGAAGAACACACAACACTATGTGTGGAGAAAAAAAAGGCACAGCACACACCAACATCAAAACCTCATCCCCACTGTAAAACATGGCAGAGGGAGCATCATGGTTTGGGGCTGCTTTGCTGCCTCAGGGCCTGGACGGATTGTTGTCATTGATGGGAAAATTTATTCCAGAGTTTATCAAGACATTTTGCAGGAAAACGTACGACCATCTGTCCGCCAACTGAAGCTCCGCAGAGGATGGGGTGATGCAACAGGACAATGACCCAAAGCATACAAGTAATTCAACAAAACAATGGCTGCAACAGCACAGAATACGCCTTCTGGAGTGGCTCAGTCAGAGTCCTGACCTCAACCCGATTGAAATGCTGTGGCATGACCTTAAGAGAGCGATTCACACCAGACATCCCAAGAATATTGCTACACTGAAACACTGAAACAGTTTTGTGCAGAGGAGTGGTCCAAAATTACTCCAGATCGTTGTGCAGGTCTGATCTGCAACTACAGGAAACTTTTGGTTGAGGTTATTGCTGCCAAAGGAGGGTCAACCAGTTATAAGTCCAAAGGTTCACATACTTTTTCCTCCCTGCACTGTGAATGTTTACATGTTATGTGCAATTAAACCATGGCAACATCTAATGTTTGTGTAGTATTATGTTCAGCAGACTGTGTTCTTCTATTGTTGTGACTTAGATGACGTTCAGAGCACATTTTATGCCCAATTCATGCAAAACTCCACGTAATCCCAAGGGGTTCACATACTTTTTCTTGCAACTGTATATGTGGAAAGCGCTGCGTAAATTGACAGCGCTATATAAGTACCTGAAATAAATAAATATATCCAGGAGTCAGTACGCATAATGCATTTCTGTCAACACTACCAAATTCTGACTTTTCACTATCATTAAATATAGACAGTTCTGTTGGAGCACAAACACTCTATAGGATCAAATGGAGATTGCGACATTCATGCCTGGGTCCAATGGATAAGGGCTGTGAAGAGAAGACTGCACAGTCGATATCCCAGAAGATCAGAGATGGGGGAGTATACGAATGGGAATGAGGAGTGGGGTTAAAGCGGAGCTCTGGTCTATTCTTGAAAACAAATAGGAGTGTTGAATTTTAGAATCTCAAGACTACTAAATCCCTTTTCATATCATGAATGCTACTGAACCACTGTGCAATAGATGTAGATTCCAGTAGAATCTATTCACTATCTCACCACCAAGTGAACATCACAATAGAATATGGGGCATTGTTTGAACATCTCCATTATGAATGACAGCATCCAATTAGTCAGATGTAAAGTACTCTCAGTATCTTTTATCAGCAACCACAATATCCCCAGTGTTCACTAGCGGAGATAAATGTGCAGCACATGTGCCTCGTTCTTCAGGGTCTCAGTTAAAGCACAGCAGACAGATTTAAAGGAGGTTGACTACTAAACATGTCTTCCAGGACAAATAAAGAAAAGAGGGAATGTCAGGTTAATCTCCAGATAGCTCTGATGCCTTATTAGTCGTCTCATTGGATCCTCCTCTTGTGATGGATTATCTGGAGGATGAACTTGCTGTACAAGGGCCAACGTACGTTGATCAATCCCTGAGCACGGACTATTGTGTGCACAGACAAACAATAAATCCCAAACTATATAGGGGAGACTTCAAAGTGAACAAGACAGGTAAGGTGAAACAAATGCTTGGCTAATGCTAACAGACAGAGAGAGGCATCAGCTGCCATTAAAGAAGATCTCCAGTCCAATAAAAAATAGGATGTTGTTTTTAACACAAGAACCCATCAAAATCAATAAATATAACATTTTTATTTTTTATCTCATTTACTTGCAATGAGAGAGAAAGTAACATGTAGTCTAGGAATTTGAAATGCTGAAAATGTTTTCATCTGCATCTTTTATCTAATTGTGCTTAAAGAGAAACTCCACTTTTGTTAAAAAAAAACATTCTCCTCCAGGTGATCTATTTACATTGCAATGATTTTAACAAATTTTGTTGCAGATTCCTACCTTTTGTTATGCTGAAGAAATAGCTGTTTGTTTGTCTGTGTCCATGTACTGAGTGAATCTGTAAGGCAGTGCGTTTAGAATATCAATCAGCTGCTGCACCTGCAGGGCTCTAATGAGTGGCAGGGTCTGCGTCACTTTAGACAAGATTTCCTTTTGGGAGTATCTCACCAAAGAGGGCATTTGTGTTGCAGGGGATGCCAAAAAATTGATGCGTATCTAAGTGTAGACTTCTGGGAAAATCAGTAAGACAATCACACAAGCAGGAAATGACATTTTCAGGGGGTATTCAATATACCATATGTGTACAGAACACCTCCAGGTAGCCATATTGCAATGCATTTTACAGAAAATTACGTTCTGTAGATCAAAAAGGAAAGGTAATTGTCAGGGCTCCCAGGTATGACCAGAGGTGTGTGACTGATGCAGGGAAACGCAGACTTCAGATATGTGATAAACAATACAATTTATTAACACTAACCATACAAACATAAACGCAGTGCAATACTAAACATAATACAGTGCAAACAAACCAAACCACCCACAGATAACAGTACATACAAGCAAGCGTCGTCAGGCAGGCGGGTCAATATCAATTGGGCAGGTAGGTACAGGGGGAGCAAGCAGAGAATGGTCGGGGTCACAGGCCAGGTTCAGCAGGTAGCAAGCAGCGTAGTACAGAGGGTCAGGCAGAGGGATGGTCAGGGTCACAAGCCAGAGATCAAAACAGGTAACAAGCAGCGTAGTACAGAGGGTCAGGCAGAGGGACAGAAACAGGATGCAGGACAGATACAGGGCCCAGGACAAACACAACACCAAGGCAGAGTCTGTGGGTCTGGCCATCCCTTAAATACCCCAGCATCATCAGTTCCAGGTGTTAGCTGGCTGAAAGGTTGAGTCTCTGATTGCTGGGAGCACCCGCTGGCCAGCCCTGGTACTGCAGATCAAAAGGCAGGTGAGTCCCACCATTGCTGGCCAGTCCATTCCTAACAGTACCCCCCCCCCCAAGGAGCGGCCTCAGGACGCTCCAAACAGTCCTAGCTGGGCAAAATGTTCCACCGCCCGGGTCTGGTAACTGGCGGGATAACAAAGACTTGCACACCGGGCAGGACTCCGGGCAGCGGCACACCGGGCTGGACTCCGGGCAGAGGCACACCGGGCTGGACTCCGGGCAGAGGCACACCGGGCTGGACTCCGGGCAGAGGCACACCGGGCTGGACTCCGGGCAGAGGCACATCGGGCAGAGGCACACCGGGCAGAGGCACACCGGGCAGAGGCACACCGGGCAGAGGCACATCGGGCAGGACTCCGGGCAGAGGCACATCGGGCAGGACTCCGGGCAGAGGCACATCGGGCAGAGGAGGCACATCGGGCAGGACTCCGGGCAGAGGCACATCGGGCAGAGGCACATCGGGCAGAGGCACATCGAGCAGAGGCACACCGGGCAGAGGCACACCGGGCAGAGGCACACCGGGCAGAGGCACATCGGGCAGAGGCACATCGGGCAGGACTCCGGGCAGAGGCACATCGGGCAGGACTCCGGGCAGAGGCACATCGGGCAGGACTCCGGGCAGAGGCACATCGGGCAGGACTCCGGGCAGAGGCACATCGGGCAGGACTCCGGGCAGAGGCACATCGGATTACCAGGCGAGCAGCAGGCACCGGGCCCCCGGGCGGGCGGAGCAGCACCGGGCACCGGGCCCCCGGGCGGAGCGACATGCACCGGGCCCCCGGGCGGAGCGACATGCACCGGGCCCCCGGGCGGAGCGACAGGCACCGGGCCCCCAGGCGGGGCGACAGGCATCGGGCCCCGGGCGGGGCGACAGGCATCGGGCCCCCGGGGGCGGGGCGACAGGCATCGGGCCCCCAGGCGGGGCGACAGGCATCGTGCCCCCAGGCGGGGCGACAGGCATCGTGCCCCCAGGCGGGGCGACAGGCATCGTGCCCCCAGGCGGGGCGACAGGCATCGTGCCCCCAGGCGGAGCGGCGGGCGCCGGACCCCTAGGCGGAGCGACAGGTCTCGGGCCCTCAGGCGGAGCGGCGGGCGCCGGACCCCCAGGCGGAGCGACAGGTCTCGGGCCCTCAGGCGGAGCGGCGGGCGCCGGACCCCCAGATGTTGGTCTTGGATCAATGTTTTGTATATATTCTTTAGCTGTTGTAGTTATACTATGTTTTGGTCAAAACAGTTTTAATGTTTGAATTTTATACTGCACGAGTGAATATTGTTGGGCATTCTTTGACAATTAAAAAAAAAAAGTTTTTGAAATCACACCAGGGTAAAACCTAAGCCAGGTTTCTATATGATGAATTCATTCAGTGTAATGTATTACCGTGTGTTGTGGTGCACAGCAACGCAGGTGATTGGGTAGCCCATTTGTAATAAATAGCAGTACAGAATGCCAACACATGTAACCAGGGATGCAAAACACAATGGTGTAAACAGACTATTGTCTCAGCATATTCTGAAATTAAATTGTTCAATATATGAACAGAGGTATAAGAGAAATGGTAGAATTGTTTTCATAATAGAACATTTTTTTAATATTAAAACAGCGACCTTTTGCAGATATAACAGCAATAAATATGGCATGGAAAATATGTCAATTTCAATGGAAAATATAGTTCCAAAACTTCTAACCAATCGTTACACTATTCTTCCCTTTGGTGTTTATGAGGATTCGCATGCATTGCTCCCATAAGAGTTTTGAGCCATTCGAGTTATTTACTGGAGATATTTTTTATTTATCCATTGTGGCTTTGTTATTGATGTTTTTGTGGGTTCCTTAATTAATTAGCTAGGAACATTAAACTGGATTTGTTAAATGATGGCCTTGAGTCCTTCTTGATTAGTTCTATTCGCAACACTACCTAGGATGTCGTGTCCATACAGCAGCTTCTATTATACAATTAATTTATTTTGTGCGTGTATATATTATTTTGGACCCAATGAGATGTGTGTTATTTTAATTGTTTTTATGGTTTAGGGCTGTGTTTTCCAGCATTATATAAAAAAGGATATGGGAAATAATAAAATATTAATTATTTATGAAAATATACTATACAGCCACTTTGAAACCGTGATACCAGGCAACTACAAAATATATATAAAAAGCAACGCTAATTCCAACTTAATATTCAACATGTGTGAAAAGTGTTAAACCCCAATTATGTGAGAATACATACAAAAAAAAATTCAAAATATATAAATCAAATACAAAATAAATAGAAAAAGTTTCCATAGAAAGAGTCCTACTTTAAAGAATCTCCATTCAAAAACGGTCAACCCTTAAACTGTGCATAAAGTGTCATTTCCATCTACTGGATTTTCACAGATGAGAGCAGGTTCACTCTGAGCACATGTGACAGACGTGAAAGGGTCTGGAGAAGCCGTGGAGAACATTACGCTGCCTGTAACATCATTCAGCATGACAGTTTTGGTGGTGGTTCAGTGATTGGGGAGGCATATCCATGGAGGGACGCACAGACCACTACAGACTAGACAATGGCACCCTGACTGCCATTAGGTATCGGGATGAAATCCTTGGACCCATTGTCAGACCCTACGCTGGTGCAGTGGTTCTTGGGTTCCTCCTGGTGCAGGACAATGTCCGGCCTCATGTGGCGAGAGTATGCAGGCAGTTCCTGGAGGATGAAAGAATTGATACCATTGAATGGCCCCAATACTCGCCTGACCTAAATCCAATAGAATACCCCTGGGATATCATGTTTCGGTCCATCTGACGTCACCAGTTTGCACCTCAGACTGTCCAAGAGCTCAGTGATGCCCTGGTCCAGATCTGGGAGAAAATACCCCAGGACACCATCTGTCGCCTCATTAGGAGCATGCCCCAATGTTGTCAGGCATCCATACAAGCACATGGGGGCCATACAAACTACTTATTACCATTTTGAGTTGCTGCAATGAAATTTCAGAAAAATGGACTAGCTTGCTGCATCATTGTTTCACTTTGATTTTCAGGGTGTCTTTGAATTCAGTCCTCTGTAGGCTGATACTTTTCATTTCCATTAAATGATAGGCATCCTTACGTTCCTAACACATTACCCAGTCCATATCAGTATGGATATCCAGCATGATATTTTTCCCCATTGAGATCTGATCTTATCACATGTTGAATATTATGTTGGAATTAGCACTGCTTTTGTATACATAGTAAGATATATATAACTCTTCTGTGCACTCCAAATAGTGAAAAAAAAAATAAAACTAAAATAAAATGTGTAAACATCTCCCGAAACTTTACCCCCTCTTTAAACTTTAACCCCTCTTTAAACAAATATCAGAAAGTAATCAAACAATACTGTGCTGTAAATCACAAGTAGCACTGTGAAAACACAAACGGAAAAAAAAAATGTGATACTGTATATATAGATAGATAGATAGATATAGTGCTCAGCAAAATTAGTACACTCCAACAGATTTGTCAGAAAACCTTTAGTTTCCTTTCAGAATCAACATTTTCTATAGGACACTATACCGCAAAATACTCCCATAAATGTGGGTCATTGATTGCAAACAAGATTTGCTAATTTACACACACGAAAAAGTATTGTTTCAAAACAAATTCATTCAAGACCATGTTGCAAAAATTAATACACCCCAATGAAAGTCTTAGGAGCAAAGCTAAATTTTAGACAACAAAATCCTAATTAAGAAGAATTCAACTACAGGTGAGTCTAATTATTCATTAAACAGGTGTCCAGCAGACAGATTATTATAAAAGAGAGTTACTTAACAAAGAAAACCCCCTTCCATTTTGCTGTCAGCAATGGCACCACATGGAGGAGATGAGAAGGGTTGGAGAAAATCACCATGCAAGTTCACTGCAGTTAGCTAAAGAAGCAGAAAGCCAAACTGGGATGATTGTTTCCCCTGACACATTACAGCATACACTGCAGAGGAATGGAATGCATGGGTGTCATCCACAAAGGAAGCCTCTCCTAAAAGCCATGCACAAAAAGCCTGCCTAGAATTTGCCAGGGCCCATGATGAAAAAGAAGAAGACTACTGGTACTCTGGAGTGATGAGTCCAAGATAAATGATTTTGGAAATGATGGCTTCAAAACTGTATGGTGTCACAAAGGTGAGAATTACAAAGAAAAATGCATAGTGTCTACTGTGAAACATGGGTGGTGGCAGTGTCGTCCTGTGGGGCTGCATGAGCACTGCTGCTGTTGGGGAGCTGCATTTCATTTATGGTTTCATGAATTCACAGATGCACTGCTCTATATTGAAAGAGAAGATGCTACTATCACTCTGTGCCCTTGGTTTGTTATGCACTTTTCCAACAAAACACACATCTAAGGCCACTGTTGCATTTATAAAGAAAAACAGGGTGAAAGTGATTCAGTGGCCAAGTATGTCTCCTGATCTGAACCCAATCGAACAAATGGGGGAATTCTGAAGAGGCAAATTGAGCATCACTCTCCATCCAGCATCCAGGCTCTAAAAGAAGTCGTTCTTGAACAACGGAAAAAGATAGATGTTGCAATATGTTGCCAACTTGTTCATTCCATGCCTAGAAGACTCGGTGCTGTCCTTACAAATGATGGAGGTCATACAAAATACTAGATGTAGTTGTTTTTTTTGTTGTAGGGTGTATTCATTTTTGCATCAACTAATTTGAGTAAAACTGAAGATTTTGTAATCGAAGTTATATTATTAACCTTACTTTCATGTAATGAACTAAACAAATGTTTTATAAGACTCAGTTTTGTCAGAATTATGGAAATTGTTTATGTGTTCACTGAGATATTGATTAAAATCTTACTTTTCAAACGGGGTGTACTCATTTATACTCAGCACTGTATATATATATAGTCCACTGTGTTCAAAGAGAAAAAAAAAAAAAAATTTTTTTTAAAAAGCATACAGTTGCAAGAAAAAGTATGTGAACCCCTTGGGATTACGTGGAGTTTTGCATGAATTGGGCATAAAATGTGCTCTGAACGTCATCTAAGTCACAACAATAGAGGAACACAGTCTGCTGAACATAATACTACACAAACATTAGATGTTGCCATGGTTTAATTGCACATAACATGTAAACATTCACAGTGCAGGGAGGAAAAAGTATGTGAGGCCCTAGCTTAATGACTTCTCCCAGAGCTAATTGGAGCCAGGAGTGAGCCAACCTTGACTACAATCAGTGTGATGATATTGGATGTGTTGCTGACAGCTGTCCTGCCCTTAAAAAACGCACACCTGTTTTGGGTTTACTGGTTTCAAGAAGCACTGTCTGATGTGAACCATGCCTCGCAGAAAAGAGCTCTCAGAAGACCTACGATCAAGAATTGTTGACTTGTATGAAGCTGGAAAGGGTTACAAAAGTATCTCCAAAAGCCTTGATGTTCATGTGTCCACAGTAAGACAGACTGTCTATAAATGGAGAAAGTTTAGCACTGTTTGCTACTCTCCTAGGCGTGGTCGTCCTGTAAAAATGACTGCAAGAGCACAGCGCAGAATGCTGCATGAGGTAAAGAAGAATCCCAGAGTGTCAGCTAAAGACCTACAGAAATCTCTGGCACATGCTAACATTTATGTTGACACATCTACAATAAGGAAAACATTAAACAAGAATGGAGTACATGGGAGGACACCACGGAGGAAGCCATTGCTGTCCAAAAAGAATATTGCAGCATGTTTGAAGTTTGCAAAAGAGCACCTGGATGTTCCACAGCACTACTGGCAAAATATACTGTGGACAGATGAAACCAAGATTGAGTTGTTTGGGAAGAACACACAACACTGTGTGTGGAGAAAAAAAGGCACAGCACACCAACATCAAAACCTCATCCCCACTGTAAAACATGGCAGAGGGAGCATCATGGTTTGGGGCTGCTTTGCTGCCTCAGGGCCTGGACGGATTGTTGTCATTGATGGGAAAATGAATTCCAGAGTTTATCAAGACATTTTGCAGGAAAACGTACGACCATCTGTCCGCCAACTGAAGCTCCGCAGAGGATGGGTGATGCAACAGGACAATGACCCAAAGCATACAAGTAATTCAACAAAACAATGGCTGCAACAGCACAGAA